AGTGTATTCTTCACTACTGACTGTTTTTAATGGTTTCTATGTCCTTTTTTATGCTTATCATCTATTTATTGAAGTTCTAAGTTCCTTAAGCTTCCATATAACCATTTAAAAAAAAAACTGTACCCTGTAGGTTACTTGCATCAATTTCATTTAGTTCTTTTTCTGGAGATTTTTCCTGTTCTTTCATTTAGGAGGTGTTTATTTGTCTCCTCCTTTTAGACTCCTCTCTGTGTCTGTTTCTATGCATTAGGCAGATCTTCTTTGTCTCCTACTTTTGACATGGAGGTTTTATGTAGTAGGTGCCCTGTGGGGCCCACTGGCACAGTTTCCCTGGTCACCTGATCCATGTGCTCTATTTGTGTCTCTTTTGTATGTTGTGTTTGGCCCCCTGTTGTAGTTTAGCCTTGTTGCCGTTAGCACTTCAATGGGTGGTATTGACCCTCAGGCTGACTGGCTGTCAGGACAACTATGAGATGCTGTGTGGGGCATGGCCCCATGGAGAGGGATTTGCCCCAGCAGAGTCTGGTGCCTGCCAAGACTACTCTTTGGGGGTGCCATTGTGAAGCTAATCATGTGGTGTTTAGTGTGTTCTGAAACTGGACACTGGGTGTGGTGGTTTTGGAGCCTCTTGAGATGAGCTCCAGTGCAGACCAATGTAGTATGCTGTCTGTGACCTGTCCAGGGCTACGTGTTAGGAGCTACAAAACAATCTGTGGTTGGTTGCTGCCTCTGCTGGGAGTGACTACATGTAACAGAGGCCATGCTGTGATCTGAGGCTACTGCCAGTACCTGGCCTCAGGCAGGTCAACCTTAGGCATATAGCACCTTAAGACCTGCTGCCACCTACTGGCTGCCTGTAAGACTCAGCTGCTGAAAGAGCCTTAGGTCTGTCTTGGAGTTAAGTGAGGCAGGGTCTCATGTAATCACCAAGGTGGGGTGTGTGGTGTTTATCAGGAGAATTCAGATTCAGATCTGGTGCCAGGGCTGAGCCTGAGGCCACTCAACAGAAGCCTCAGGGTACACCAAGACCAGCTGCCACCCATATGGGGCCTTCAGAGCTTTACAGTGGGGTAGGGTCTTAGGGTGACATCAGGTGGAGCTAGTAGAATTCACCAGGCTAATGCAGATTCAGATTTGGCTATGTGTGGGGAGGGCAATGGTGGCCACCCCTCCAAATCTTATCCTAAAGCCACATAACACAGTTTCTACATGTATGTCATGTAGCCTCTGAGGTTGACCAGAGTTCTTGAAGAGTTTTTTCCTTTTTTTTTATAAAGGTTGCAACACAGGCCCAGGATGGCTGCCACCAGGAGAGCTTAGGGTTATTCATGAGTTGGGTAGGGCGAGGTCTCAGGGAGTTGTTAGGTTGAAGTGAGTGGGGTTCACTAGGTTAATGCACATTTAAACTTTTCTCTGCTGGGGTGGTGGGGTGAGAGGAAGCTCAACACAAGAAAGGTGGCACTTGTGGGCCATGTGGGAAGAGGATTCAACACAAAGACAATGACAGTCTCTGTCCAGTCTTTGCCCTGAGGCCACATACCTCAGATTCACTATTTATGTCTCTGGTAAACCAAAGCCTCCCCTCAGCCAATGTTTGTACACCAGAGCCCAGGGTGAGTGCCTTTGAGCAAGAGTTTTTATACGAGCTCTTTAAGGAGATACCTGGGTTTTCAGCAGCCTTCCATCTCACAATGACAGACAGAATCCCCTCTGATTTTCACAGCCAGATGTTATGTGAACTTCTCCCCCAGCATGGGTGCTCTGTGCTGGGAAGCCCTGTGTGTGACTGAGATCCCTTACCCCTCAGGGAGGGCTTCTGAAGCTGAGATATCTTGCCAGATCCTCAACCACCATACCTAAGTGTGGGGGCCAGACCATTTGGCATCTCTGCCCTTCCTATCGGTCTCAATGTGGCTTATTCTTTATATCCTTAGCTATAGGACTTCTGTCTACCTAGTCTTCAGATGGTATTCCCATTGATTATTTTATTATTTAACTGTAAGTTTGATGTGGTCATAAGAGGAAGTAACTATAGTGTCCACCTACTCTGCAATTTTGACCAGAAACTTTTTTAATTTAATTTAATTTTTTTTCAATTATGGTTGACATTCAATATTTTTTATGTTAGTTTTAGGTGTACAACATAGTGGTTAGACAATTATATAATTTACAAAGTGATCCTCCCTGATAAATCTACTACCCACCTGGCACCATACATAGTTATTACAATATTATTGACTATTTTTCCTATGGTGTTCTTTATTCTGAAATGACAAAATTATAGACATGGGAAACAGTTTAATAGTTGCCAGGGAATAAGAAGGGTGGAGAAAAGATAGATGAGATTGTAAAAGATTAACACTGAAATCTTTAATGTGTTGGTACTGTTCAGTATCTTGACTACAGCAGTGGCCACATAAACCTACATGTGTGATCAAATTTCGTATAGTGATAGATGCATACAGGCAAATGGGTACATGTAAAACTGGTGAAAATGGAATAGGGTAGATGGATTGTACCTATGTCAGTTTCCCATTTGTGATGTACTACAGTTATACATGATATTACCATTGAGAATGAAGGGCATTCAAGATTCTTTAAATTTTTCTTAACTGCATGTAAATCCACAATTATCTTAAAGTATAAGTTTTTAAATGAATAGGAGATCTATGTCATAATGTCCATTTAATAAATAGAGATAATAAGGCAAGGAGATAATCATCTGTTTAGTTTGAATAAGACCTAGTAGCAAGTCTAGGTTAGTACTCACTCAAATTGGAGATCCCAATTCAGAAATCAAGACTGAAACTAATACTAGGACCACTGGCATTTATACTAATGAAGAATGTTTCAGAGAATTCCAGCATCCCCCTTACACAGTTGCCAAGTGCATAAGAGATTACAAGCAAAAACTGCCCAGGTAAAAAGGGCCATTTGACCATAAATCATTTTCAACTTTTAAGCGACAAGGTTTTTGGATAGTTTGTTATGCTGTAATCAGAACACTACATTGTGTACAAGGATACTGAGTGATTGTAGCTAAATAGTTGAGTTTTGAAATCTCAGTAATTCTACTGATTTTTAAATGCCATGTTTGCCTCAGGGTAGTCTCTGACACCCATTTTCCTGAATATTCTCTAAGCATGTTGGGAATGATGACAAGTGTTGGGGGATGCACACAAAAGGAAATTGAACAACCAGTCCTTGCCCTTAAAGAACTCACAGTCTAGTGAGACAAAACATCAGTGCATTAAATGTCATGAGAACAATTATAAGGCAACAAATCAGCAAGTTCAAACTAATATACAACAGCACAAATTGAATGCATGTGGCAATGTATGGCTACCCAAGCAGCAGAATGAAGCTAGACATTTTTGGCCCTGAAGGCAACATTTCAGAAAGGGCCCCTCTTTCTTTGTTAACAGTGAAATAAACATCTCCAGCAATGCAGGGGCTAGATGGATGATCTTAACACTTTTATAGAAAGAAAAAAGGCGGTAACTTCCAGGGGAAATTATTCTTGTTTTAATTTTCCTTTGTTCTGTTTTGCTGCTTATGTGTATTTTTGGCAAGCCACAATTTCACTAAGCATCAAATTCCTCATCTGTAGGTTGGAGATAACAAACCAGGGAGTAGTGAGTTGAAAGTCAGGACATATGAATTGAATCTCAACTATATCATTTATTGGCTGTGTGGCCTTGGATACATCACCTCCTCTGCTCCCCTACCCCATCAGTTTCATTTTCTGTGGCATGAAAATGTTGAGTTGATTGATCCAGAAGGTATCCATCAACTCTGACGGTTGAAGCCACAGATAGTTCATAGTTTGAGTTTGTTGTGACAGTTTAAAAAGAAATGTTGATCTATACGAAGGTAGTCTTTAAATCATAAAATGGTATAGCGATATTAGGGATATCAATATTGTCCAGTTCCATGTCATGGAGGAAAAAAAGCCCTGCAGCTCTCCCCCAAGTTTAGGGCTTAATGTATAAATGGGTACTGTCAAAGCAGCACTTCCAGGCCTTCGAAGTTTGTGATAATTCTTTGTAAATATTGCTCACTGTATAAACGCAAGTTTGGAATAGTCTGTCTCAAGCTCACCAAGGCATTAGCAGTGTTACTGTGATTTCAGGGTTGAGTTCTTGACCAAACTCTGAATCGTAGGAACTACTAAAACACTGGAGATTATGGTGAGCCACTCAAAGTGTGCTTCAAGACTCTTAATGATCATAGAGGTCCTTTCCATGGAGCTTAGGAGCCCTCTTTGTGGGAGAAAATAGATTTCTAAGCCGTCCCCTCTCTTTCCACACACACCTATATCCACCCTACCTTTAACTACACCAAAGCTTATCACTTCATTAGCTGCAGTAGGGATGTGGGAAACTCCCCAAAATGATAAACAGCTTGGTAGGGCATAATTTGCGAGGATAGCTCATCCTGTATCCTGTGCACTAGCTAAGGACCAGACCAGGTGCATGGGTCCAGTGAGGCCATTGTGACTGAGAAGAGAGATGCAGGGTTCCAGTCAGAGGGTTGCTGGGATCTCATGGCAGGCGCGAGAGGTGGTGAACTCCTAAGTGCATCCCTCTCAGAGGAGAAGGAGGGGCCGGAGGAGATGTGCGGTCCCTTTAAGACCCCAAAGCTTGCTTAGCCAGAGGAGGGGGGGTGTGCAGTGGGGGCGCTGCGTGATGGCAAAATCGCCGGCAGAGCCTCTCACTTTCTCTCGATTTCTGAACTTTCGGGTGTGGGGAGCAAGAATAAAGACGTAGGGCCGGGGCACAGAAGGGGTGCAGACTGGAGAAGGGGTGCGGGCTGGCAGCAGCTGCACGCTTGCAGACTTCCCGCCTGCGCCTAGCGGCTGGCGGGCCAAGTGGGGAGCGGGGAGCTGGGAGCCGGCGGCGGGTGGGCGGGCAGGTGGCCCCGGGCCACTGGCTCCCGAGCCTTGGCTCTGCCCCTGGGAGCCAGGGGAACCGCTGCTCCCTCGTGGTGTGAGGGCGGTGATGTTTTTCCTCCCACCCACTTTTGGGTCCCCCCGCCCCCTCGCGCGCACTCTGGCTCTCGCCACAACCTGCAAGCCACAGACCTCGGAGCAGCGCCCCGGGGAGCTCTGAGCGCGTGCACCCGTGGAAGACCGAGGAGGCCAGTGAACAGGTCAGTGAGCAGTGCCCCGCGCCTGCTTCCCCGACTGTCCTTTACCGCCTTTGCACAGGTGGGGTATCTTATGCTGGCGTGAGCCGCTCCAGAAAAGTCCCCCTAGGGTGCCCCAATCTCTCTCGACCTGCCACCCCAACTCGCTTCAAGATCCAGATGCCAGTGGCCAGGGTAGATGTGGGGCCCACGGTGAGGGCACCGAGACACTTTGGGGACTGTGGATTCGAACTCAGCACTCTCCACTCCCTGCTCAGCTTGCGTATTTCCATGTTCTGGTACTGTAGGAAGCCAATTGGGAAGTTACCTAACGGATTCTGCAGTCTCCCTAGTTATCACTGTGCCCTGAGCCTTTTTTCTCACTTGCTGAAATGCCCTGGACCAGTGGGTGATTAATACGTGCTAAAGTTAATGAAACAGGGAAGGATGGGGGAGAGGCTTCCCTGGAGTCTGGACAGCTGCCTCATTTTTCAACCGAAACCACTGGGGTCAGAGTTTGAGAGGCTAGACTCAGGAAGCAACGCAGTATTGCCAGAGTTCAGGGCCTGGAAAGCCTGCCTTGAAGTCCCTATGGCCCTGCCACTAACTGTGAGAATAGGCAACTGAGAATTCTTTGGGCTCCAGGGTGCCTGGGGTTACTGTGGGGGATAAAATGAAATTATAACAAGGTGTGTTGCAAGCCACTGTTTGTCAGTAGTGGGTAGCAATGAAGGCACTGACTCTTAAGAGACACCCAGGGCTGGAACTGCCATTTTTCAGTGACAATCCACCACCAGTGAACTGAGCTTTTCTTGTTGTGGGGTAGAATAGGGAGAGGATATTAGCCAACGCTATCTGAGGCTGCAGTGTCTTATTATCAGAAAGAGAATTGCTACCCTGGAGGCTGTCCTACAGATGGTAGTGAATGTGAGATTACAAGGTCCGTCAAACCTCTCAGAGGATTAAAGAACCACTGTGAGGCATGAAGAACTGGCTGACATGCACTCAGCCATTAGCCTTCCTTTGAGAATGTCCCTTTGGTTCTCTTCTACCCAGGAGACCTCTTCTGAGAATGGACAGGCTCTTGACAACTTGATGGCCCAGATTGCCTTGTAAATTACAGCTAAGCAAGGAGACCTTGGGCCCTTTGCATGATGCAAATGAACAATGCAAATATTTGTTTCATAGATGCACCTTAATCTACACATTTTTTTCTTTTTTATTTTACACATTTCTTTAGATTATGACATGTTTATTTTTTCTCTTGTAAATTCCACACTCCCTCTCCCCTCCCCAGTGTTAGTTGCAAGGTTTTGTTTTCTTTGTTGTATTTTGGTTGTGGCCTGGATCCTCCCAGAGCATGTCAATGACTACATTTCTAAGTAACCTGTAAAAGAACCAGTGCAAGTTCATTGGCACAACAGCCTGTATGAAGCAGAGAGAGAGTTAATGCAGAAATAACTCCAGTTAACTGGGTCAAAGTATAATTTGAAAAATTAAGGACAGTTTGGCTCTTTACAAGTGTAAGAGTCTGCATGTTTGCTGAGCAATGCTTGCTTGTGTTTATTGCTACAGTCCCAATAAATGTCTTGCACCACCCAGCTCCCCTAAAAGAAAAAGTAAAAGAGATAAAGAGAAATTGAGCGGTGAGGAGACTTGGAGAAGGAACTCTTCTCAGTTTATGTTTCTGCACAGAATACAAAGACAGGACTTCAGGATCTTGTTATTCAGAAGTGAAGATTTATAAAGCGATTAGTTTTCTGATGTTCTCCATCACAGCCTGGGAGGCCACACATGACAGGAATACCAAAAGAGAAAAATTTCTCTATTGTCACCAACTTTTCTATTTGCTCATAACATTAGTTGGGACCCAAGAAAAGCAAAAATATTCTAAGAGCCGTTTTCTTGCCAGCATGAGTTATGAAGCAATGCTACTGTTCACCTAATCACCCAACCATTGTACAAGAAAAACAATCCTGTTGGTTCTTGCATGGGGAGGCCTGAAAAATGTGGTTTGAGAAATACCTCCTGAGATCCATATGTGATTGTGATAAATTAGATTTCAGTGATTTAAAAAATCTTTCTCTCTTGGAGGCTTGGGGAATAAGCTTATTAAAGTAGACTCAGAAAGAACCTCCCAAATGTTCATGAACATGATTCATTTCAAGGGAACCTGGTAGTTCTCAGAAGACAGAGGCATTCTAAGTAATTAAAGATAGACCACAGACTCACAGAGGGGACCAAGATCTTAGAACCCAGACCTGTGGCAGGCTAAGAATATGTCCTAGGAGAATTTAGTTCTTGTTTAAGGAGTAAGCATCAGGTAGAGAAGGCAGAATGGTACTGCAAATTCTGACTGATGGCACAAATTATTATTTATGATTAGTTATTCTTTGGCTACACATCCATAATTTGAAACAATGGGTTTTCAGTTATCCGGACAAATTCATGGCATTTAAAGTAGGAGCTGTGGTATCACACTATAGCCCAAAGACAATTCAGTTCTCCAGAATCATCATCTCGCATTCCTTCCAGCTCTTTATACTAGATATTTAGGTTGAACGCTCTGAAAAGACCAATGAGCTGAATTCCCATCCATAGTTAGCTCCAGACTGAAATGTGGTGTTCCTTGAATGTTTAAATATTTTCAAATCATCAATTGAAAGAGTTTCACAAAATCTAAAGCCTATGGAAATGACCCGTGACTAGATATGAGCTGTAGCAAACTTTCTGTGTTTGAAGGCTTGAAAGATTTAAGACTTCTACCCCTTAGACTGGAAATGTAAGTCTCATATTTTAAAGAATTGTAGTTGCTTAAATGGTCTTTTGCATGGTTGTTAATGTGAACACATTACCTATTTAATTTTGCCTAAATTCCCTGAAAAATGGCCCGTTTTAAGTTTCTATTTCACAATGTGCCTGAGCCATTCAGGTATTTAATTGCATGCATTTGCTAATTACATCTGTTTTCCAACACAAATAAGCCAAACTGAAGAGCCTTATAGATCCAATGGAAGTCACAGGAGAAACACTGGTCAATTTGTGCCTGATCCCTGAAGGATTAATAAAACAGTAGTCTTGAAGCTAAGATTAGTTAACTTTCATTTCAGAAATTGTTTGGGTCTCATGCCTATTATTTTCATCTAGTTTGCCAAGTAGATGTTTTGCAAACCCTAGTTTCCCTTCTCCCAAAGAAAATCTCTTGAGAAATCAACATTAATTCCCTTAGAAAGGAGGATTTTAAAATTTATTTTTGTTTCTCTATGACTTGCCTGTTAGGATTCAGCCTTAGCATTGGATAGGAATGCACGTTTATCAGCTTAAATTTTTCCCCATAATCTTTGCAAGACAAGAGAAGCAGGTTCTCTTTCTTACACAGGAAAATAATGCTTGCACTTATTTAAATTCTTCAAAGTTTTTATTCCCTACCAAGTTAAAAGCATAAGTGATCTCCATCACTTCCAGAGACTCTGTTTTAAGCCTTCTTTCTGCTTTCTTCCCAACAGCTTGACTACACCAGGCCCTGAAAGTTTTGAGTTGTCTTTTTCCGTGGCCAGAAAGAGAAAAAAGTGGAAAATGGGAGGAATAAAATACATCTTTACCTTGTTGCTGTTCTTTCTTTTCCTAGAAGGAAGCAAAACAGAGCAAGTAAATCGTAAGTGTCTCAAATTTAAAAAATAGGATGCTCTCTTGTAATTTCTCTGAAAATGTGGTTATAATCTGTGTTGATTGTGATGTATATCCAAATGTGGCCATGTCATTATTCCAAGAGAAGAAAGTGAATGTTACTGGTTTATACATGAGTTTATATAAGAATAAAAACTTTGAATAAGGTCAACTAAATTTGGGGCTGTTTTTCTGATTATCATATAGTTATCATCTCATAGAAAACATAACACATTAGCCTATTTTCATTTTTCTGTTTTAAACTGTTCAAATCTCATTCCATTTTATGTAACTCTAAAAATATCTGACAGATGAGCTGGATTTTCCCCCAAATTTCAGACTCTTCAACAAAAGTTTTCAGTTTATGAAAAGGAATAACACACACACACAAAAAAAAAAAGAAAAAGGAAAAGTAAATTGGGCTGTGCCTATTCCCTTATGTCAAAAAATGAAGAAGGGAAAAATTTTCACATGAACTGGATTCAGATGAAAAATCCTTTGAGGAAATTGAGATTCAGGAACTGTGAGCAAATTGGATGCCACTTATTGAAAGAAATAATTCCCCGCAAAGCCAGGGAATATTTCTAGAAAGTCAGTGATCCGTGTGATGGGTTAACATGTTGGAGAAAGCAGAATGGCAGGAAGGGGGGCTAATTAACCCTCTTTGCCGCCACATTTGGGAGATTTATGGGTAACCATTGACATCTCTGCTCTTGTTAGGAGATTTCTGCTGCCTTCGCACAGTATGAGCCTCACCTTCTTTGGGCCACATGCAGCCACCTCTTAGGTAGACAATTCCTCCAAATTTGAAAAAAAATCCATAGCTCTAGTTATCCTTTCTTGGCTGTATCAAAAGAAGCACAAAGTGGAACTGGTCCAAGAAAGGGCATTCTCTGCTCCACTGAACTTATTCATGAGAAGGAACTGTGAAAATATTCTTGGTAGAAGCGGAAGCAGCATCTGAAGCCCATCATTTAAACATTGATCTCCTTTATCAGCATAAGTTACACATATTAGTCATAAGGTTTGTTGACAGGGGGAACAGTGTCAAGACTATTCCATTGTTTTGTGTATTTCTGTACTACTATGATTTTCATAGCAAACTTAGTTTTCTTCCTGGGAGAAATGGTCATTTTGAGCAGGCTTTTAAATATGAGTGATGTATGATGATATCTAGTAGGATTGAGCCATAAGAGGAAGTTTAGCAGGGCATGATTTTAACAGGGAAGCTTGGATCAGCTTCTCCCCTTGTATTCCTCAAACAACCTTCTTCTTCCACTTGAACGTAGTCCATCAGATCTCATCTTTTCTAGAAGTCCTCCTTGATTTTAGTGGACCTTATAGAAAAGTTGTCCATCCTTTCTCAGCTCAGCCCAGCCCACTGTCAGCTGGACTTAACATCCTTTCTCTCTTAGGAAGAAACTTTCCTTATGCCCTGTTACTGATGGCATTATGGAGATATTGTGCAACTTTTAGAAGACCATCTCTTCTGAGAAGCCTTCCATATTTATGAAGACTTAAGGAATATTGTCCATGCAATATAGGTCTTAGTTGATAAACTAAAGAAAAATACTATTTGTAAACCCAAATCTATCACTTTTTAACAGTTCTTACTGCCTATGAAATTGTCCCAAGCCCTTTTGATATTCAATTGATGTCAAAATGATTATGTAACACATGGCCAAGGGCACAAGTTTTGGGCTGATGCTTGAGGCTTATAATCAAAGGATGAGGCCAAGGTCATGGTCATTCTTTGATTACTCTGTGTGGCTACACCAAAGCTAACTGTCTCAAAGACATGTGCTAACTTATCTCTACCAAAGGGTAAATTTCAAAGCATATGCCCTATATATGTTGCCTACACACACACTCACACACACACAGTCACTGTACGCACAGGACTTTATACTGCAGTTCTAACAGTGAGAAATTAGAAGCAGAGGAAATATCAGTCCACAGGGGAATGGTTACATAAATGATCCATGTAATGTGCTATCATGCAACAATTAAAAACCTGCTTATTGAAAATTTAATAGTCCTGGAAAATACTTATGTTAGCTTTTGTTATATTATAAAATTAATGATGTTTATTTTACAAAACTATATGAAAGTAACTGAGCTTTATAAAGGATGTGTATCCCACTACTCCTATCCCACTCCCCAGGCATAGCCATTACTAGTAGTTTGCTATGTGTCCTTCCAAAATCTTTTCTCTGTGTTATAACATAAACTTATATGTCTATATGTTTTTTTCTTTTACAAAAATGGGACAAATGTCTTTTTCTGTGCTTTTATTCAGCGCTGTGTCTAGGATGTCTTTCCATGTCAGAACATTGCAATTTAACAGTACCACATTCTTTCTAATGTCTTCATAGTTGCCAGTTGTATGAGTGTGCCATGATTTATTTAACCAGTCCCTATTTGTAGATATTTAGGTTGTTTTCAGTTTTCTATCTGTTACAAATCAGGTATTAATGAACACCTTTAGGTACTTAGGCAAGTAGTTGTGAAGAATTGTTAGGTCAAAGTGTATGTTTCATTTTAATTTTGTAAAGACTGTCAAATTGCCCTCCAAAACAGTTGTATCAATTTATACACCAACCATCTTTGTATAAGTGTCCATTTCTAATCCCTTCACTAAAAGTATTATTAATCTTGTATTTTAGGACAAGTTTAATAAAGAAAACCACATTTCAGTTTTGCTGCAATATTTTCCTATTATTGGAGCATTTTTTTATTTAATGATTTTGAGAGAGAGAAAGTGAGAGAGAGAAGTTTATTTGTTGTTCCACATATTTATGCATTCATTGGTTGATTATCATATGTGCCCTGACCAGGGATCAAACCCACAACCTCATTGTATCAGGGGGACGCTCTAACTAACTGAGATACTTGGCCAGGGCTGGAGCATCTTTTAAATTATGTTTAGTCCAATTACATTTTTTCATTGAATTGCCTATTTTTAAGTTGGGTTGTTTGTATTATTAGCAAAAGCTTACTTATTGTTTCATTATTTCAAATTTTGTTATTAATTCTTTGCATTTCAAATAATATTTTTGTTGTCTGCCATTGGCTTTAAACTTTAAGTTGAATTTTTTTCATACTGAATTTTATTTTTTTTTGTGTAGTAAGAGCTGTCATTGATTTCCTTTACAGCTCCTGAATTTCTTCTTATTCCTAGGAAGGTCTTTCCAATTTCATATTCTTATATATTCTTCTATTGCCTCCATAATTTAGGGCTTTGCCCATAATTCTCTATTTCACCTGAAATTCATATTCATGTATGGCATGTAATAGAGAACCAATTTTCTTTTTATCTCTGGGTAGTAGGTTCGTGAATGTTATTTTTGTTCAACTTTGTCCTTCTATGTATTCCAAAGTTTTCACAATTAGCAATAATTACTTTTACAACAGAAGAAAAACCCTTTAAAGTAAAAGAATATCTCATTTCCCATATATTATTGTCCTATTCTATGATAGATAAGAATAGGTATGACAGTGGAAGAAGGAATAAGAGTATTTTTTTAAACTAAGAAAAACCTAGAAAAACTTCAGGAAATATGTAACTGTGAGAGTAACAAACCTTCACATCTCTCCTTGTTGCCAGACACCATTTTACCAAAGGAAGCCAAGATTTTTATTTTTCACAGAATGGTTATAATATAAGCTTCTAGGTCAAGGAAGGTATGCTGCAGCTTGTTTGCTCTCCTTTTTTGGGTATCAGGGTGGAATGAAGGGGGACGCCATTATGGTTAAAGATACTCATTTAATTGGTGAAAATCTGAAGAGGTCTGGAAAAAAGGGCTGTTTTTGTGGAAAGCTGTTTCACAGAGAAATGTTGAGATGGGTGCTGCCACTTTCTAGTAGCTAATTAGTCATAGTTAGAGTTGCTCTTTCAAGAGGGAAGACAAGTTCAGGAACCCAGGAAATGCTGATGGTACAGTTCAGTGGGTGAATGAGCCATTTGTGGCTTACATAAAAGTTTGTTACTGTCCAGAATCAGCAAGGATTGAAGTCTTTAACTGGGAGACCATTTTTGTGTAACTCCATTATGCCCTGTTGTTAAAGTTCTAGTCAAAGAGGCTAGGGATCTCTTTTGAAGTTCAAAGGAGTGTAACATTTAGTGCATAATATTCATGAACATACAGGACAAATGGGCTGAAGAGGTTGTCTCTTTTGGCAGCTCTAACTTAAGTAATAAACTATTGATCAAAATGAGGTGGAAGAATGAGTTGTTAGGAATATTCAATATGTATTTTGAATGGCCCAGCCTGTGCCAACTCTGGCAGAGGTTCTAGGGAGAGGAATTGCTCATATATATCACAGAGTCCATTCTTAATTTCAAGGTGAGTTAGCTGGATCTTCCAAGGGACTTGACTCTCACCCATTTATCCCTTCAGGAGAAAAGCTTCTAAAATTCACATTTGGCAGAAAATGGGCCTCTGGATTTCTCAGGAAGGATATGCCACCAAAAGATGTAAGGGAAGGAAGAAAACACTTCGAAAATTTTCAGGCAAATGAAGCAATGCCCTATGGAGCCTACCCAGAGTCTCTTTGTGTATTGTTAAAGCCAACCAGACAGATTTGAGTTTTCTTCATGCAGATTCTCACTTCGAACTTTGAGGTGATTATTGGGTAATAGAAAGAAGCCAGTGAAAGAGTAGACCTATTCACATCTTAGAAATTAAAGTAGGTGGAAATAAAAGAAAGAATGCCTTAAAATTAGAAAGCTTAATGCTTTTCAAAGTACATTCTTAATTATTTTTTATGTTGGGGAGGCAGTGGCGTTGGGTGTGGAAGCTCTGGGGTCCACTGAGATCAAAGCCCCAGTTCTATGACTTTCTTACTTTGGGAATATCACTTAACCTCTCCAGCTTTAATTTCCTTATCAGTACAGTGGAGTAAATAGTAGATAATGACTATCAACATGGGCATTTGAAGAATAAATGAGATTGTGTATACCAAGTGCTTTGAAACACTGGCTGACAC